ACAATCGAGACTCCCTCTGGTGGTTGAGGGAGCTTTGAAATATAAAAGTTAAACAGTAGCGGGGAAAGGACACCACCCTGAGGAACCCCCTGTTTTATTTTTCGCTGCTTACTCGTTTTGTCTCTAAATGTTACCGACGAATGTCGACCACTCAGATAATTTGCCGACCACCGTTTGAGCCTCTGTGGGAGAGAGGAGGCCTCTATATCTTCTAGCAGCGTGGAATGGCAGACGGTGTCAAACGCCTTTGACAAGTCCAACGCTACTAGAATCGTTCTCTCACAGGGACGGTTGCGGTTAAGGCCACGAGTTATCTGAGTGTTTATGGCGTTAAGTGCTGTTGTTGTACTGTGCACTTTACGGAAACCATGCTGATGCTTCGCTGGGGTCAGGTGTTTTGTGAAGTACGGGAGTAGCAAGGCCTCAAGTGTCTTCGCTACCGGGGAAAGGAGTGTAATCGGACGATACGAATCTCCTTTGTTGGCGGGTTTCCCCGGTTTGAGCAGTGGGACCACTCTCCCCACCTTCCAGATGTCTGGGATGATGAGAGTGGCCATTGACAGGTTGAGGACCTCCGTTAGGTACGCTACCCCCACAGGACCCAAATTTTTCAGCATCAGCATGCATATACCGTCGGGACCCATGGCTTTGGAGGCTTTCGCCTTCCCGATGGCCACCTGAACTTCACCGCAAGTGAAAGCAAGGGGGGCACAATTTGTTGGCTGTTTGTGCAGCCTTCAGGTCACTCGACGCTTGGCTTTGTCTACCGGAGGATGCAGTATGAACTGCCGGCTAAAATAGCTCGCGCATCTCTCCGGGTCCGACGAAGCATGGTCGCCGAAGGAAATTTCGACTCTGTCGTCGTGCTTCGTCGGATTAGACAATGACCTCACGGTTGACAAAAGCTTGCTCACACCAGAGGTGAAATTACAGGTCTTCAGGTGCTCCTCCCACTTCTTCCGCTTATGTACGTTTACAAGTTGCCGAATCTCCGCTTCGGCAGGGAAGTTTGGACGTGGGTCCGATATACATCCTGCCGGTATGAAGCGAGCTGCAGCAGCAGTGATAGCCCTGCGGAACTTACGTTCACCGAGGTGGACGTCGGTTGGTGTGGGGAGCGCTGCGAAGGTGTTTTCAGTAAACTCCGCGTAACCTTTCCAATCAGCTTTGGAAAAGTTGATATAGGTCCGGTGTTTAGCGGAGGCAAAGTCGGTTGGTTTATCAATCGAGATGACTATGGGTAGATGGTCTGATGCTAGAGTCAGCATAGGTCGCCACGTTATGCTGTTTATCAGACCAGCGCTGACTATTGTGATGTCTGGCGAGCTACTGCAGTTACCCATAATCCTGGTGGGTGCGTCGTCGTTCATTGTGCAGAATGTCGAATCGTCTATCTGCTCAGCCAAGTCTGTTCCCCTACGATCGTTTGACAGGCTTGAGTGCCAAAGATCGTGGTGCGCATTAAAGTCACCTACTACCATACGGTTTTCACCTCTGAGGAGCGCACCTATATCAGGGTGATATCCTGCCGGGCAGCAGGTGACAGGGGGTATGTAAATGTTAAATATTTCGAGCTCGACATCGCCTGACCGGATAGCGATGCCCTGACATTCTAGGGTGGTATCCCTGCGGTCGATGTCTGCTTCGATAAGACGATACTGCACGGTGTGGTGCGTGATGAACGCTAAGCCACCACCATTATCTCACTCGCGATCTCGACGGTGCACGTTGTACCCGGCGCAATTCAACAAAGTTGAATTGCTGTGCAGCTTCGTCTCTTGGACCGCAGCTATTAATATACCATGCCGACACATGAAGACGGTTATCTCCTCAATCTTGCTCTGTAGCCCGTTACAGTTGAATTGGAGGAGCTTCATGTGGTTCGGGAGACGTGTCGTGATGTGGGGTGTGAGTGAGGTGTATGTTCTTGCCGCCGTTGGCTGTGTGTGCTGCTGAGGTGGTTGCCGCCCTGTGGTGGTGGTGGGGGGCGTCGCAATTGACGTCTGCGACCGAGCAGCACAGCACGGGCCCTCGAAATTCCCCGTCCAATCTCGCGTGGTACGCAGACCTGAACATGCCCTAAAGTGGCACCAGCCAAGGCAGGTGTTGCACTTGACTGATGTCACATTACGGAATATTCTGGTCTGACATACCGTGCAGATTGTAGGGGGAACCAGGAGTTGTTGGCGGCGGCGTGTGGGTGGTGGCGCGGTTGTGTGAGTTATGTGGTCTGTGGTGGCTGTGGTACGGTCTGTGGTGTTATTATGTTGTTGTGTAGTGGCGACTGTGTGTGGTTGCTGTGTGAGTGTGTGGGGCTGCACGGGCGGACTATCGTTTGCCGTGGAGGCTGCTCTGTTTGAGCAACAGGGGGCCACGTAAGACGTGGTCCACTGTCTGTGTGTCCGTAGTCCCGAGCAGACCCTGAGGTGACTCCACCCCTCGCAGGCATTACACTTGACTGAGGTGGAGTTGTGGTGTAGTCGTCTTCGGCATACACAGCAGGTGTATATTTCTGGCCCAGGGAATGCGTAGTGAATGTTGCCCTATGGACGGACAACTTCTGAGATACTTCGCCGACCTAAACGGGGTTAGATCGCCGAAACAACAGCCCTTGGTCGGGTGAAACCCGAGTCATTCCGGTACGTAGAACCGGCTGTCGTGGGAACGGAGAGTTGACCATCTTTTTGCTTGGTGTTGGCGTGAGCCTTGTCGAATTTTGGCTATGTGGACGGCTGCATTTGAATTCATGTATTCATAGTCAGCTGTTGAAGCGACGCCAACGCCAACGCAACGCCAAAGTTCTATGTGGACGGGCCTATACAATTTAGACACCAGCATAAGGAATACGTTGAAATACCAAAAATTACAAATTAAAATCGGAGGTAAGCAAGCATCGACCACTTTCTGCCGGAAAACATGCGCTGCGACAAGATATTGTTACTTTTTCGGCACCTGCAATACAAACACGAAAATTCTAAATAGTTAATTAATAAGACCTATTCTTTTGAACACATTTCAAGAGGATTTTTATGCTATGCGTTTTCGGTATTGCAAATTTGTCAAGCCATGACAAATGCAAATGCGTGTATTTTGTTTGTGTATTGCGATACAAATTTGCAATGAAATGATGCTAGGCCATTTGCACCGGATCGCGAATAGCCCTAATAACACATGGTTGCAAACTGACACAAGTAGTAGTGCGCTTTAGCGCAGGAATGATAGAATACAAGATTGCGCCGATCAGAGAGGATTTTTTAGAACAACTTTTGTGTGACGTCACACTGGTGCAATTGCGAGAGAGAAATGCCAAAACGTGAGCAAGAATGGAAGAAGAAAAAATGTTGCAAGGAAAACGTAAACAAGTTGAACAAGTGTGACGTCATGCAAACAACGATTCTGTCAAATTCGTTAAGAGAGGAATAGCGGTCCTAGATCCGCGCAACCTTTGTATTCTCTCAATCGTGGCTTTTGCGAAACCAGGTCAAAATGGACGGAAAAAGTTCGAGAGTGGTATCAATCGACGCGTCTTAGCGCCATAATAACAAATCGAGACCGGATATTATTTGCAAAAAACACTTGTACTTTCCACACTAAGTTTTGATGAATTTCACGCAAATGAATAGAATAAATGAACTCAATTTAACACGTATTTAGTAGTTTTTATACATTTGTGACGTTTTAAGTGAACATTTTCACGAAATTCTGTATTTAATAGCAATATTTCGATGGTTAAAATCCGCAGAACAATCTTGTGTAGTTAATATAAAGAAGATGCATAGATCTGACAACATGAAACAAAAGAAAAAAGTTATTTTCTGGCTGACGTTTGTAATTTCGGCGGCATGTTATTTTCTGTGAAAAGTAAACAAAGAATATGAAGACGAAGCATAACGAAAAAATGGAAGCAATGTTGTGCACATGTTTGTGCAAACCAATTTATTATTTTTGTGCGTGTTTTTGCATCCAATCACCGCGCACTTCATATTACAGTATATACAGTAATAAACCTTTTCGCAGTTTTTCACCATTTGGTCCCCGAGGAGTACTTTTGGGTTGTGTGCAGCGTGTTCGTTTTGCGCGCACGGCAACACTTACTGTGGGGAATTTCGCCTCACGATTAGAAAAAGTACATTTCGAGGATAAAATATACACAATTATGTGTTATTTATGAACAAAATGTAGGTTAAGGCTGTGTGCGAGTACGTCTAAATTGCTACCTAATGCCCTGTATGCAGCTCTCAAGAAAACGGTCAAGAAAAATTTGCCATTATTTCGTGTGTGTGTCCAAGGAATTTTGACATTTTTGATACTTCATAGCCTGTTGCCTCACTCTTTCCTCAAGAAATAATGGAACGGGCATATATTTCTGTTGCAAACCTGGGTTGCCTTGTGCTCTTTTTTCACAAAAAATTTTAGAAAACCGTAGAGAAAGCGTAGCAAATTCCTTAAGAACTGCGTACTACCTTACAGAAGTTGACTCAAGAAAATTTCTTAGCCATTTCTTGTACGTCATTTTATATGGAGTTTTTGCTTTTCTTGAGAGCTGCATACAGGCCTTTTTATTATATTATTATTATTATAAAATAAAAAGCTTATTTTTACTTTCTTAAGAAATTTAGTACGCTTTCTACTACGGTTTTCTAAAGTTTTTTGTGAAAAAAGAGCACAAGGCAACCCAGGTTTGCAACAGAAATATATGCCCGTTCCATTATTTCTTGAGGAAAGAGTAAGGCAACAGGCTGTGAAGTATCAAAAATGTTAAAATTCCTTGGACACACACACGAAATAATGGCAATTTTTTCTTGGCCGTTTTCTTGAGAGCTGCATACAGGGCTTTAATATCCAGCTCTTAAGAAAATGCACAAGAAAATGTTCGTGTTCTTTCTTCTGCTTGAAATAGTAGTAGGCCAGTAATTTTGACGTTTGATAATGCACCGTGAATAGTAAACAATGGCAGAAGAAGAGCGGTAAAAAGTAAACAATAGAAACAATCTTTTGCCTATGACCAATTTGTAATGAGAATCGGGGAAAGATTTCCGTGCGACATCTGTAACCAAAGCTTTTTAACTCCGTATACATACAAAAAACACAGGCTAACGCACGAAACCAACCGCAAACCAATATATCAATGTGCTCAGTGTGAAAAATCATTTCTTCATAAAAATGGTCTAACAATCCACGAGCTCCATCACAAGGGAGCTACGATAGAATGTCAAGTTTGTCAAAAACGTTATGTGCGGCAAATAGACCTAGATGTTCATTTACGCACTCATTCTGGAGAATCGCCATTTGTGTGTCACCTTTGTGGAAAATCTTTCATCCACAAACGTATTTTAAATAGGCACATGCAGTACCTTGGATATTTCAGTTATAAGAGCGTGATTTGTGGTTCTAAATTCTCCAAATATGATCAATACTATAATCATCGCATGCAACACACTGGATTACCTTATAAATGTGGCGTTTGTGAAAAGCAGTTTCCAGATGCTTACAAGTTAGTAACAAAGTATGATTATGCCCTACATGTACATATATGCATATGTGTATGTATATAATTTTTCAGGATTAAGCGTCATATAAGAGGTGTGCACAAAATTGAAGAAGACAAGGAGGTGCAGAAACTCGTTGTAAGAATAAACATAACAAAAGAATATAGAGGACGAATAGTCGAAGTTTTGGAGAAACCAGAAGAAGAAAATAAATAAAATTTTACCTCATATAATAATGGTAAAAGCAGGCAGATACCTCCTCGGTACATTAAAATTTATTCTACCCAAAAGCTGCGGACAGTCACAAGATTCTTGGATAGTGCAAAAATAAAAGTTAGAGACAATATTGACCTTTTATCTAACGATTTTCGATAAAGTAGCGTTAAGCGCGCATCATATGAGGGTATGGGATCAGAGAAGAGTAGTGATCGTAAGGCAAATTTGAGAAACACTTTCTGAACGCGTTCAATCCTATTGTATCCTGTGGGAATATCCCCATAGGATACAATAGGAATCCTGCCACCAGTGCAAATTACAAATCCCGAATCGATTGTTGGAAATCGGAGGTAGAAGCTCCGATTATGCAGCGTTTTTGCTGCATTTAAAATGCAACATTTAGCACTTTCGAACATATGTTTTCGAAGAGCGTTCATGCTATCGCATTTAGCAAATGTACATTTACGCGAGTTCGAAGTCGTATGCTTTTGACAAACAGCCGTGTTCCAGTCGCTTATTCAGATCCGTATCTATTACGATAAATTCTCACGGAAAAGATAATGTCCAAAAATCACTACTGAAAAGGAAAAAATAAATTCTAAACCGAAAATTCAATACAAAAACTTGAATTGTTTTAACCATAACCAGACATTTGTTTGTGTATATATTCATTTGTCGGTGCTGTCAATTATAATTTCCACACTTAATTAGGAAACAAAACAAACAGAGTTGATCACAAATTAATCCAGATTTCTATCAGCATCATATCGATGTTTAATTTGCGTAACTTTTCTTTATCCAAGTAATGTAAAATAATAAATGAAATCTCGATCGGCGATCACTGAAACGCAGCTAGCGGCTGTATACTCGAAAAAGCAATGTTGCCACTTCTTCTCATTAAACCATGTTCGAAGCGTGGAAATTTTGGAAGATCACAGGGTTGCTTTTAGCATTTAGATTCTAAATGCAAAAATGGAGTTGCATTTAGGTGACGAATTTTGTATGGATAAATGTACATTTAGAGTAGCATTTAGAGCTAAATGTGCTTTTACGCGTAAGCAAAAACAGCCCATTAAGCACAACTACTGCTTTATCGATCACATGTTACATGCATGATGTCGAAATCGTCGATAGTGGTGTGGTAGTGATAACCAGACATTGAACAACCGGCCCTAAATTGCTACCTAAGGGCCTGTGCCAATTGATAGAAAAGTTCTCTGGATAGTAAATTTTTGACAGCTATGAGGTGAATAAAAATGTTTGATACGGCAGGGCTAGTGAAAAATTTGATAGCAAGCATTATCAAGAAGAAGAACGAACAACGCACGTATACACATAAATTAAAGAAAACAAAAGCGAGTGGAAATAAAAGAACATGGTCCCGCCGGCAAAAAAAATAAAGAAAAGCTATATAACTTGTAAGATTTAATTTCAGATTTACATATGAAAAGGCGTTATGTATTTTTTTAATTAAAAATACTATTTTACAGGGAGCAGTTCAGAACGCAGAATCCTTCTGGAAAAGCGCACTGACAAGGATGTTTGGTTCAGTTGAAAGAACGCCAACAGAAACGAAGGCTGGAAGTGAGTAAGAACAATAAAAATAATTTGAAGACTTTATTAAGCAAATGACTTCGTACTCCACTGACCATCCGTGGCGCCTTTTGGGAATGTGAGTTAAGAGCGAAATACACCACACAAGCGGTTTGACAAACCAAGCGAAATTTCCCTTTGCTTCAAGCCATTTGTGCTGTGTATGGGGGTGCTTGAAGGTTTGACAAGCCGCTTGAGGGAAATTTGAGCAAAAAATCAAAATTTTTTGATTTTCTGGCCGCCATGTTGATGTTTGATCAAACCGATTGCGTTGTGTATAGCAAAATCGCCTCATTCGCAACGAAATTTTCACCGAGTAAGGACGTAAGAGAGGAAAATGAAAGAAAACCATAATATTTAGCATTGCGAACTGGAAGAAAACTAAAATTCTTTGCTTGAACGAGTCATGTTTGCATGGTGTATGGCGAAATGGGAAAAGTAGGTTTGAAGAATGTTTGACAAGCCGCTTGTGTGGTGTATTTCGCTCTTTACAATTTTTCGAAACGAAGCAGAGGACAACCTAAGATACATTTTTGTAGTCTTGTTATCGCCGTTCATAATGCTGCTTAGTATTTTGGAATAAACGTCTTGTTGCATGTACATAATAACCTAAAACGACATATGTTTTTATTGGAAACAATTGTACACGGTTTTAAACATTTTTGTGAACACACTTACCAGACGGTTTTGACTTGTTTTTATTTCTAATATTACTGCTAAGAGGTCTAATAAATGCATGGATTTCAGTTCCAGAAGAATTGAAATCATCAAAGGCAAATATTTTCTATATAATTGCTGCATTTTATAAATAGCAAACTCGATAGTCTTCTTGTGCATCAAAGCAACTGTCAAAAATTTCCAGCAGTAAAAAGTTACGAATTGGCACAGCAGAAATGTAAAATTTTCTCACCATAGTAAAAAGTTTTTCCACCATAGAACTTTTCTATCAATGGGCACAGGCCCTAAAAGCAACAATTCCAAAACAAACAATTTAGGTGGTGGAACGAACTCGTACAGTTTTAGCAGCTATTTTCCTAAATTGTAGCAGTGCTGGAAATTCCCAGTGGAATATTAGTTTAGGTACTAAAATTTATGTAAAATCGCACACAGCCTAAGGGCCGGTTACTCAATGTCTGGTTAACACTAATCTGCGGTTAAACATCGTTATCGACGTCTACAACTCCATGCATACAACAGGGAGTCGGTAACGCAATATTATGTGTATACATGGTTATAAGCTACCAAATTTTACCTAGCCCCATGAGCTATGTAAAATTTTGACGTTCGTATTCACCACGAGAAGTGTCAAATTTTTACTTTGATCCGTCAAAATTTTCTATCGTGGCGAGAAGGGGTGGAAAAATTTGCTATGGTGTACAAATAAATTGAATTTTGCTGTGCCAAATGCAGAGTTAAATTTTGCTGTGCCAAATGCAGAGTTAAATTTTGATAGTTGCAAAACCAAACAAACGCTCGTGCGAAAGCTTTATTTTTGTGTGTTGCTGAAATTCTTAAAATTTTTATTTATTTTATAATTTGCAAGTAACGTACGCTTTTTTTATGCTGTTTCAGCTTTCATTTTCATGTTCACTCCTTATTACCGCCAAGCAATATTATGTGTATACATGGTTATAAGCTGTCAAAATTTTACCTAGCCCCATGAGCTAGGTAAAATTCTGACGTTCTTATTCACCACGAGAAATTTCAGATTTTTACTTTGATCCGTCAAAATTTTCTCTTTTCTATCATTTGGCACAGGATCTTTCTATCAATTGGCACAGGGCCTTTAAAATAAAAAAAGTCCATTGTAAGATTAAATTATTTACGAAAACCGTAAATTTTGTGAATTTATCAAGCCAAATTCTAAATTTCCGAATATATTTAAGTCTTTATTTAAAAAAAAACAAGGTTTGTATAGCCATACAGATCCCAATGACTGCCAGCACATCCGCCCATACAGTCTATTAAGCACACCTAAGTTTGAGTGATCTATAAGTTACAAGCGTTTTCAACATTTAACAGTTCATTATCATGTGCGGTGTAATATAACAAATTATACACTGAACTATGATAATCTATACTAGTATCTATAATAATAGACAAAAATTTGCAATGTTTTTACACTTTTGCAATAGTTTCGGGCACTATTACACAGTCATGACTTGTGCCACTCTGCCATAGGACGGTTTTTGCTCCCTTTCATACCAGAATAATTTTGTATACAACTCTGAATCAACAAAATTCATGATCCTTCTCATTATCAACCCTAATCAGATTTTACCCCCGAGGAGTACTCAAAAAGGTTTATTACTGTATATACTGTGGCTTA